CCCCCCCCCCCCCCCCCCCCCCCTTTCCCCCACACATACACAAGTAAATAATAATTGCTACAACGGTTGTTCTTCCTTTTTTGTACGGATAGATATAGATAATTGGGCGAACTGCGATGGCATTGGGTTCTGGAAAGTTTGGGGGCTATGTTCTGGTTGTTTAATCAGTTACCTTTCGACTGCTTCGCACGAGAAACATGATGACGATGATGACGATAACGACCTCGGGATCACTCAGGATGAAGAAGTGCATGAAGACATGGTGCCGCACCCCGAGAATTACATTTCTCTGCGACATATGCAACATGCAACCCTCAAGAAGGCGAGGCCGGCGCATCATGTGTTTTGTTTTTTTTTTTTCTCCCTTTGGCATGTGCTCCATCAGGGGATCGGAGCTCTCCAAGTTTCTCTTCTCGTCAGCCATTTTTCGAGACAGGGTATTTAAGTTAGCAAGCTTGTTGGAGAATTGAACGCGATCTTTAAATTTGGTCTAAGCAAGGCCCAAGGGAGGATAACGGACCCGGTATATATCGTCTGCGGTTTTGAAGGGGGTTTTTGGATTTATTCAGGACACAGGAGGCTTATGGGTTCTTTGGATTAATTCACCTGGGGGCGTTGGTTACAGGCGGAGCTCATCTTGAGTTCCATGGAGTTTCTGTTTATTATCATGTGCTCTTCCTTTTTGTTATTTTGCATTGTCGAATCGTTATTGGCTTCGCTCTTTTCGACTGGAGCCAGTGTCGTGTGCTTGTACTGTGTGGATTCGTCCAGCGTGTTATGCCATCCCTCGCTTTTTCTTTTTAATTGCTCTGTACATACCTTCTATTGCGGAGGACATGCCCCTGATTATTTTGATATTGTTGTAATTATCTTGAAGCATTTATCGAAAATATAACTAGCTTGTTCGCATCAGGTTTTGGATTGAATTATGGACAGAGTATCTTTACATGGACATTTCAGCATTGTGTCGCTTCACTAAACAAATTGCATCTATATAGCTCTGGACCAAATCTATGGACTACGGACACATGGGCATGGTTATAGGATCAGCATGACTTATGGGGAGATCGGCATTCAAAACGCATCTCGTCTATCGTTGGAACCATCCCTTGCAGTGGCTCTGCCGGCTTTTAAATTAACTAACGAACGAGTTAACTATAACTAGTTAGTTACGACACCCTGGCTTAGTCATACAACGCATCGTTGGTTTAACTATAATTAGTTAACTAGTTAGTGTTGGACGTCTGAAGTGGTTGTATTGGTAGCCTATCTCAGGGATGCTATATACTATTGTGCGGTGCGCTAGTCCATAATAGAAAGCCTAGGCTCCAACACCTCCCCTTGGACTAGCTACTGTACAGACTAGCTATCATACAGACTAGCTACTGTCCTGCTCAAATCAATCATATCCATCATCTCTATCAATCTATCTTGTCTTCCAATTGCTGTATCTATCAAATCCTTTTCTTATTTCACTCATAACCTGGCTGACTTCTCAAAAGTTCTTCAATATTTGAAGAAATTGTTATAAAGAATGCTTGACTTGACTGACTTACAAGTAGATTCTCTGTATTTCTATCTTTGCTCTTATCTTTATTCTTAGTCTTATTTCTATCTCTATTTTTCAATATCTTAATGCACTTTTTATTATGCTTCTGTCATTCAGTGCTTGCAAGATTTGAGTTCTTGAACCAGCAGTGTTTGATCATATGCTCTATATTCTCACAATAGTGGCATTGATATTCATAAAATCATTCAGTGACAGTATTCATAGCAGATGAGTTGAAATGAGTTGTAGTGATAGTGATACAAATAGTCAACTGATTCATCAATTCATCAAGATTCAGATTCTGAATAGAGTCTTGCTTAATAACATAGAAATCATTCAGCTTTATTTTAACAAATTTCTGTTATCAGTCTCTCAGTTCTAGTATGAATAGATTATAATAGATACTCTCAGCTCAATTTTCACCTAGATATACAAGTTTTGCCTTTAGATCTTGAAAAGTTGCAAGATAGATATGAAAATCATTATTTTTAAGCTGTAAGTCTTTTAACTTCTTAATGATTTGAAGATATTCTTCTGCATAAGATATAATGTAGTGCTAAACAAAATTTTTTCATATAATTACTGTTAGATAGAAATCCTCATTCAGTGATTCTAGAAAATTACATATAGTTGCATTCAAAGATTGAAAGATTCTTGTGTAAAGAAGTTCATTTTTCTTATTTCAAAACTCAATTTTCAGAGAAACTGTGATAGAAGATGCTATTTACTGTTTATTGAAAACATTTTTTATCTGAATCAAATAAGCATCTGCAAGAATAAAGCTTTTTCATTTCAGATAGTTGACTTCAGTGAGAATGACTGCATGTTTTTCTTTCAACTTAATCTTTACATCTTTGCAAAATTCATCAACTTTATTCTTAATGAAATTCTTAGTAGTATTTGACAAAAAATCTGAGTTTTCTTCTAGTTTTTATATGAGTCTTTCTATCTGTCTGTTCTGTTTTTTCATATATTTCATCATCATTCACATCATATTCATATTGCTTTCATTCATATCTATTTCATCTTTTTGATCAGTTTCTTCTCTAAACTTAGAAATAAATATATTGTATTCATGTTTGTCTCTATTCATGTTGTTGCTTGCAGAGGTATTCAATGATTCTGCAGCTCATGTTCTTGAAGACATCTGTTTACCTTCTCTTGATTCAATCTTTTTTCTGTAATCAAAGCTTTCAAAACAGTCACTTTTCATCAGATTCTTACTGTAATTCAGCAATGCAATCCTCATGAGACATTTTATATCTCAGATTAAAGAAGAAGAAGAAATAGAGTGCAGAAGTAGTGTGAAAGACTGTTCAAAAAGAAAACAAGCTATCCAGGCCATAACCTGTTGGACATCTGAAGTGGTTGTATTGGTAGCCTATCTCAGGGATGCTATAACTATTGTATGGTGAGCTAGTCCATAATAGGAATCCTAGGCTCCAACAGTTAGTTACTGCGGACGTTTCAAACTACCCGAAATACCAGGAGAAAAAAGGCTCCTTGTAGATATCAACGGAGGGCCAGACGGCAATTGGCGATATCCTTATATGGGAAAAAGAAAGGGACGAACCGTTTCAGCGAATGCCACCTGTAATTAAAAGTATACCCATTTACCCCTCCTAACAGTTACTTCACTCTCCCGCACTCGTTAAGCCACCTTTTCCCCGCTCAACGATCAAAGTACGAGGAAAAATCCATAAATCCAAAACGGAGAAGAGGGGTAGAGAGCAACACCAATCCAATACCAAAAATGTCCGACTCAAAATCCCAAACAAATCTACTGGGCCAATCACCCTCCAACAACGACTCCACCCCCGCGATTGGCAGCGGACGGAACCCCTCCCCGCTCCCACGACCCCCAGCCCTCGCCCTCCCCACCCTCATCGACCTGCGCTCCAAACGCGTGATACTAGCCTCCAGCTCACCCCGGCGCCGCCAAATCCTCTCCTACCTCGGCCTCCCCAATATCGAAATCATCCCCTCCACGTTCCCCGAAAATCTCTCCAAAACCCTCTCCCCCTTCGAATACTGTCTGCAAACCGCCATCGTGAAAGCGCAGATGGTCTACCGGCAGGAGATCGACAACGAGGAGAAGGGCGAACCAGCACTGATATTAGCAGCCGACACGATCGTCGTGGATCCCTCGGGAGGGCAGATTTTGGAAAAACCCCGCTCCGAGGCACAGCATATCGCCATGTTGAAATCGCTGAGGGATGCGGGGGAACATAAGGTCTATACGGCCATGGCGGCCATGGTGCCGTTGAAGAGCGCACGGGATCCCGGCTATGCACTTGAGACGGCCGTGGAAGAGTCGGCGGTTACATTTGATAAAAGTATCTCGGACGAGCTGATACTGGCGTATGTGCGGACGAGGGAAGGGGTGGATAAGGCGGGGGGTTATGGGATGCAGGGGCTTGGTTCGATTCTTGTGGAGAGGATTGAGGGAAGTTATGATAATGTTATTGGGTTGCCGTTGAGGGCTACGTTGAAGTTAATTGAGAAGGTTGTGGCCGCGGGGAATGATGAGGATCGGTTGGATGGGGAGGGGTTGGAGGATGGGGAGAACGGGGAGGACGGGGAGGAGTGAATGGCTGTGGGAGTGGGAGTGGGAGTGGGAGTGGGAGTGGCATTGGAACGTGAATATGGGTGCTTCTCATTTAATATTGAAGACTGAGTTAGAAATTAGTAGAGCAAAGGCGTTCGGGTCACGATTCACGGTTAAAAGGGTCTTTGGCGCATTTCATCCAGAGTTAGTAGCATGGATAAGATACCTATAGAATAGACATGACATTTTGCTTGCCCTGCTCCTGATATGACAAAGAGAGTAGGAAATTTTTTACAGTAACCGGATAAGGCTGGTATCTAGAAATAGTAGACATGTAGTTTGGAGGGAAAATAATGTGCTTGAAAATGCAAATGTGAAGAAATGGAAGAAAAAGCACAGTAGGGGTAAAGCTAAGAACTCATAAAAACACCCTTGATCATAAAGGTACTTCGGAAAAAGAGCCTAATGTATACCAAAATCATGCCTTCCAGCTCCGCTTGATAGCCTCAGTCAAACCAACATCGTTCGTCTCGAACTCGTATAGGCCAACTGCAGTTGTCAGGGTCATAATGCGAAGCAGCCACTCGAATGCCTTCCTGGTCTTAGGCACGCGGGCTTGGGGGAAATAATCGATGATACAAGCCCTGTAGTGCACAAAGAAGTCGCTCCGTTATTTTTCCATTGTTTCCTATCAAACTACTTCATTAAATACACCCGCTGCCAAAACACAAATACTTACTGGAAACCAATATGTGAATGCATAAGGATGGTACCGCAGAATACAGCGTCCATGACCGGGTTGAGGGATCCACCAGCGAAGGGAGCGATGGTTAGTGGGATGAGGGACGCAGCAATAATTCTATTTCCACGGTTCTCCCATTAGTTAAGTGAAAATTCGTTTGATACGCACCAATTGTTTCACCGAAAAATGAATGCAACACACCTTTCGAACGTCCAGTGATAGCTTCCGTGGGAGGGAGAGGTAGGGGGAGTTGGCACAGCATCGTTCACTATATTGTTGTTACGACAATTAGTATGTTGGAGAGCTGGTTTGTAGTGCTAGAGAGAGTCCATAGTCGGTCGCTAGAACACAATAGTATTCTCCGCATAATATCTTTCTGACCGTTGCCCGCAGCGATCCGGTTAAGGAGAATGGCGTCGCAAGGCAGTTGAAATAAACCCGGGATTAATACGTACTCGTTCCTTTGATAGTCTCTGATACTCACACAAACATCACCACCAAATTAGCCTCTATTACCAATCGCTCAATCAAAGAGAACAATTGAAACAGCAATCTACTCACGAGGAAGCGGGGGAAGAATATTCCTGCTGCTCGTCGCATGGAAGCCGGCAACGTTCACTGCAACATCTCTCTTCTTCGCCTGGACAGGCCTCAGTGTTGAAGCAATTCTCAAAAGCGAGGATGAGGTGGCCCTGGTCGAATAGAGGGCAGCATTGGGTGCGGGATGTGACAGGGCGCGGCAGATGTGTCTCAGCGCTGAGGCTGAGGGGCGCACGATCGATGCCATTGCAGGAGTCCTGACTTTCCTGGGTATGCTACTACCCTCTTCAACACGCAGACTTGCTTTGTGGTGAATTGTTGCGTGTGTGATTAGCTGATGAAGTGTTGAAAGCATGAAGTATTGGGGCTGTTCTCGGGATTATCCCTCGGGTCGGTTAGCAAAATCAGTCAGCAGAATAGGCGTCATGTGATTGGCCGAAGTACCAGGGGTCGGAGCCGAGATAACCCGGGCCTGTCCAGGACGAAAGAGGCATAGTGTTGGTCTGAGGAGCTGAGATGAAGGAGCTGAAGATGTCGAACGACGGATGATATTTGTCTATGCGTGTATAACTTCAGATCAATGTCTGATTTAAGGTTGACAGTCAGGGCGGATATCACTTGTGGAGAAAGAAAGGACTGCTCTATTGCTGAGCTTATTCCAGATTGGGAATTATCAAGTTCAACTCCCTCTACTTCGATGAATGGTTATATCAATCCGCAACGACATCATGCCTTGAATGGAGTCCGACTATTTTATATTGAACTATGTACATTTGTTGCAATGCTATATACTGGATCATTGCCCGAGCTAACTACATCTCGTAATAGAAGAACACCATCAAATCCTCAGCCATCATATCATATAGTTATGGCAAACCCCATTCCTTTCTACCATGCCTAGAAACGATACTCTACACATGTGCAACGGTTCCCCTTCGACTGGCCGATTTTAAAGTCTAGTATCAGGAGTGTTCTATCCTCACTTATACGAACATATCAGGCATCTGGTGAGCAATAAATCTCGTTGGGTTGAGCGGGGAGGGGGGAAATTGGGGGGGCGAGATGGGATGGAATCGTCAACAAACCTTCTGGAACTTCAACACGGCTTTCCCAAAGTTTTCACCGCGGAAGATGCCCACCAACCCCTTTGCTGCATTATCAATTCCCACCGTCTCAGCTGTGACCGGCTTAAACGACCCGTCCTTAATCCACTGAGAGACTTTCTCCTTGTGCTCCTTTGCCCACTTATCCCCCATACCATGATCACCAACAATAAACCCCCGCATGGTGAGTCTCTTCGACACGAACATGAACACATTCTTGACCCCATACCTATCCTCCGGCTTCAGATTATATTGCGAAATCATCCCGCACGCCACAATGCGGCCCCAGTCATTGAGCGCCTCTATCGCAGCATCGAGGTGCTCCCCACCAACGTTCTCATAGTAGATATCAATCCCGTTCGGTGCAAGACGCTTGAGCGCATCGTGGGGCTTCTCCTTCTTGTAGTTGAACCCGCCATCAAAGCCCAGCTCCTTCACAATATAATCCAGCTTGGCATCCGAGCCGACACTGCCAATAACCTTCAGCCCCTCATGCTTCGCCACTTGGCCCACAACCTGTCCCACCGCGCCAGACGCGGCAGAGACGAAGATCGTTTCGCCCTTCTTTGGCTTGCCAATCTCCATCAGGGAGGAATACGCAGTCAGCCCAGGCATTCCCAGGGGCCCCAGGAAGACCCGGATATCCTCGATGCCCATTGGGTTCTCGAGCGGCCTCACCATTTCCATGCCACCTGCGGGGACAGCGACATAGTCCTGAATAGGCAGGAAGGCAAGCACTAGATCGCCTGGCTTGTATTTGCTGTCGTTGGACTTGAGCACTTTGGCGATAGAGCGGCTGTTGATGGGCTTGCCTAGCTCGTAACTTGGGGTGTAGGATTTGATTTCCGGATCGCGCATGCGGCCACGCATGTATGGATCAAAGCTGGTGTATAGAGATTGGACGGTGATGCCATTGTCTGGAGCTGGGGCGGAGGGGTCGAAGGGAACAGTTTGGACGGTCAAGTGCTCACCCGGCACTGGATATTCGATGGGAACTTTGGAGAAGAAGAGGGCTTTGTTTTCGGATGACATGATTGTGTGTTTAAGGCGGGGCAATTGCGGGTGGAATTGGAGTATGGGGCTCTTGTACTGATGCGGTATAATGAGAGTAACTTATCAATCTGGAACAATCGGGGAGCTGTTATTTAAGGCAGGGAAGAAGTTGGTTCGGTAACTGTTTATTGTGATGGAGAGAGGGTTATTACTATTCTAAACATCAATTGACAGGAGAAAATCGTGAACCTTTTATACCCAGAGCCGTGAAAGTCGGAAACTGAGGAAGAGAAGGAAGAGACCAGATCTTCGTCTTCGCCCCTCTATGTCTAGGCATCTTTTCAGGAAAAGATACCCATATGCACAAGAATAACGCTATTGCCTGACAAATAAAACAACTCTTTTTTCTCCAAGCAATTGTCCTCTCTATACCCACGGCGGACCAACAGGAGGTGGGATCATGACATCAGTCATTGCGGTTGTTTGTGTGGCGTTGGAATTGTTTACCCGTTGGGCCGCAGGACGACTTGCCTCGGCTTCATATTTACAACTGCATTGGAACCACAGAATGATAGAAACCGACTCATGTTTATTAGTAATGATGGCAAAAGTTAGTTAAATACAAATTTTCCTTACTGTGCGCCGGTCAAACTCTTTGCGATCGTGTCGTGGATATGTTGGTTTCCTACAGCTTGCTAAACCAGTTAGTTGGTTGTAAAACTCGGCTGAGCTGCATTCTAGATTGTTAAATATCTGTCGAATTATTTCCCGCATCAACCGTCGAGTAAGAGTCAATCGCTTTAGATATAATACCATTCTCATTACTGGTGGCTACAATTGTTGCGGGGAAAAAGAGTCCGCGGCTATTGAGGTTGGAAGGTACCTATGGGAGTGGTTTTGCTTTAATGATGATTTTCTACAAATACATTATTTATATCTAGTCAAACTCCGTACGACAGAGAATTATGACCATACTAGCGAACAAAGGAAACTGATCTTCTGAGTATATCGGTGGATAGTGGTATATCCATACTGTAAAAAATCGGCAACATCTTCCTCTCCCCAATCGATCTAATCATTGAACACAGCGAACAACGAAAAGAGAACAAAGAACAAACAAACTTCCAGAAAGTTGGAGATATTCAGACACGTGAACAGGGTGTTTCAGTTCTGGAAGAGGGGACAGAAACTACTTTTCGGATTTTTCCATTTATGAAACATTCCGGCTCATGTCCGCTCTGATACGCTGATAGTCAAGCATGCCCTCAATGCTGCCAACAGCACTGATGGCAATATCTTTATCCCACAGCTTGCGCTGGGCAAAGCTCATGACATCTTTCTCGGTAATCTTGCTAATGACACGCTCAACGTCTTTGGGGCTCAAGCGGCGTCCGCTGGTGACGATCTGGCGGCCGATGTCTTCCGCAATGGCAGTGGTGCCGTCGAGAGATAGAAGAATGGAGGCTCTCAGTTGGGCCTTGGCACGCTCAACCTCAGCTTCAGTCACGCTGAATGACAGTCGAGACCATTCGCGGAGGACAAAGTGGACAAGGTCATCGAGCTGAGTAAGGTTCTCGGAAACCAGGTAGATACCCCACAAACTTCATTGAAATAATTTACGTTAGCCCTGCACAATCTTCGTTGGGTTGAATTGAAAAACCAGAATGCAGACTTACCCAGTATCACTGTAGCTGGTGGAGAAACTCATGAAGCTGTTGGCCAAGCCATGGTGGCCAACGAAATGGCTTAGCTTGCTGCCCAGGTAGGGAGAATTGCCCATGGAGCGATCCCAGTTCCCAACGATGGCTTGGGTGACGAGAGCGGTAAAGTAGTCATCGTCCTTCCAGCTGACTCCCTCAACAGCCAGGGCAATGTTGGCAGTAGGAATGGTGTCATCACGGAGGCGGACTTCAGAACCGATGAAGTCGGGTGTGCGCTTCTGCTCGGCAGCAAGAGCAAAGGCAGCAGAGTTGGGTGGTTGACTGGGGAGGGAACCAAACTGCCGCTCAGCCAGTCTTACGAGTTGGTCGTGGGGAATTCCACCAGCACTGACGAGGACCATGCGGTCCGCCGTGTAATTTGTCTTGATGTAGTCGACCAAGTTTTCACGTTTGATGGTCTGGATGTTTTCCTTGGGGCCAAGAATAGTTCGACCCAATGGCTGGTTCTGAAATGCAGTGGCATGCAAGTGGTCAAATACGACCTCTTCCAGCTGTTTGTCAACCTCCTCTTGTTCCCGAAGAATGACATCCCGTTCCCTCTCAATCGCAGCTGGCTCTAGTTTTGAGTTCTGGAGGATATCGGACAGGATGTCGACGGCCTTGGGAACATCACCGTTAAAGGATTTAGCGTAGTATACAGTATTTTCTCGCTATAGTTGATATCGGGACGTCAGTTCATGCTACCTCCTATTGCGACATCCAAATGTTGCCACGTACCGAAGTGTAGGCATTGAGGTGTGCACCCATGTTCTCGATCTCAAGTTCTAGCTGATTCTGCGATCTCTTGTTGGTGCCCTATAAATCCATCAGCAAATAACTCACAGCGGCAAGCTGATCAATGCGTCGTGATTGACCTTGAATGCAAGATGCTCGAGGAAGTGCGCGGTTCCATTTGTCGCATCAGTTTCTGCACGGCTTCCGGCATCAATCCACACACCAACGGTAGACGTCTGGGCCCATGGCGAATACTCAGTGGCAATCTGCACGGGCTGTTAGTGATGATCTATCCCACAGTGTGTGTCAGTGCCAATGTCTCACCGTTAAACCATTTGATAGGGTTGTTGACTCAGTGGTGGTAGGAAGGGTGACAGGGGTTGCGAAGCCTCTTTTCACCGGCTGCACGGCTTTCAGGGCAGCATGGCTACGCAAAGCCTGGTTAAAGTGCAAAACCAATCGCCGGGATGCCATGATGGAAGATGTGGAGGAGAATGGGGGAGGGTGTAGGACTTGGGGGTGGGGGGATGTGCTGACTGCGGGAAGTCCGTTGAAGTTGAGATCCGAAGCCAAATTAATTCAGGGCTTCTGATATGTCACATGACCACGATTACCAAATTTAGCCGGCTTCCTATTCGCTGGTTGGATTCAGCAGCGAACAACATCATCAGTGTCAACAGGATCTATACGGTCCCAACAGCAAGGCATAGCTGGACATTCTCAACACCTTAGACAGACGGACTGCGATGGGTCTGTGAGGGCAGTTGTACACTCCGTGTGGGGTTTACGTCCTTTAGAGATGGATGGCTTTCGCTTCGTGAACGAGCCATAGCACTTTGCATATGGAAGAAACATGGAATCCCAGACCCTTTACTTTCGTTATTGGCGTTACTCACTCGGGATTTGATATGCTTGATGAGATGGAAACTGGTTGGGGAGTACTGAAAGAAGATGATGGGAGCACTGTCTGGCTGGGACAAAAGGCCCGCTATGCGATATGGCCGACAACGGGCACATTGAAGTCATCAGATTGCTAATAAATAGCAACATCTTCAACTCGTATTCCAAAAATCCTTTGGAAGCCAATACCCCTACATCGGGAGAGTTGAAGAAACAATATAAGAATTGCTAATTACCTAATGATAACTCCCGAGATATCAGCACGGGGAATTTTGAGACCAATAATATGTGTTTAGGCTTGACCGTGTCGTTTGGCAACAAGGTCACCATCGGATTGCACTTTGATATTGCAAGTTGAGGTTCTGAGATTCTTGCTAGATTGTGAGGGCGTGAACTCTATCCTCATAATATAGGGAGAAGAGTCACTCCTGTCATGCGGCATATGAAGAGACATTTTCATTTCTATTAGGTCGTGAGGATATCGCGCCTGACTTGATTTATAACGATGAACAGATACCACTATGCATATCAATGTCAAGGGGATTCCTTGACATGGTAGAACTGCTTCGAGACTACAAAGAGTTGGACCAAGGCGGAAAACAACAACGGATTGACAGCACTCATACATTCTAAATGAAAATGTCAGCCTTACGGTCTCAAGAAGCAACAGCCTTTTACCAAGAACCATGTGGGGAGGTTTGAAATCGCGGGATGTATCCTGTTGGCTATATTTCATCGAGTTTACTTGTTTCTTGCTCCTCGTTTCCTTTTTGTCTACTTCTATTTTCCTTTGAGAGGATAGGGGATCGTGGAGATCGCTAAGCCTATGAGTGAATGGTACCTCCTAGGCTTTGTCCAAGAAAGCCTGGCCCTGCATTTCCTAACTATACCAAATTCCATTCTAAACGAGAGGTATCAGAGCAAAGCAGATACCTATCTCAACTTAACATACTCATTTGCATACATCCTTACGCTTTCCAACAATGACATATCCTCGTGAAAGCCCAAAGTCTTTGCCCATGCAATATCAAAATTTGGTGACCACCCTTGCACAATTCGGTCAATATCCTCATCATATCTCTCCTCCACCAGCGCCCTCTTCTCCTTCCCACCAACCTTCTCCAAGACATCCAACATCTCCTGCACCGATACCTTAATCCCGGGCAAATTCACCGACCTCGAATCTTTAAAGGCCTCCTTCGGCACATCCTTCGCATGCATCAGATTTTTTACAACAGTATACGGTGAACAAATCCACAACTCAGTCTCCTTCTTAACCGGTAATACGCTCTTGATCCCATTCAGCGGCTCTCGCAGGATGCCGCTGGCAAAGCTACTAGCTGCCTGCGTAGGCGCTCCCGCCCGCACCGTTACCGTCGGCAACCTTACAGCCCGTCCATCCAGGAACCCGCGCCTTGAATAATCATTCACTAACAACTCAACAATCATCTTCTGGGTCCCATATGATGACGTGGGTAACTGCGGCATATTCCGCTCAGTAATCACGAAGCCCGACGCTGTGGGCCCGTAGACTGCCAGCGAAGATGCGAATACAACTTTAACACCAGGTATTGTCTTCCGCAGCCTGTCGAGGATATATTGTGTTGCGAACAGGTTTACACTCATGCCTAGATCGAAATTGGCTTCGGATCCGCTGGACATGATGCCGTGTAGAATGTAGACGACATCGTAGCGGGAGGAAGGGTTTATGAGGGAGTCGACAGCGGAGTGCACGGTTAGGTCTGCTTGTATCGAGGTTACGCGGGAGTAGTGTTGCCTGGCGCTGGCGGGGATTTGGGGGGCGGAGGTGACGTCGGTTATTGTTAAGGTTGTGTCGGCGGCGGTGGTGTTGAGGAGAGAGGCGGTTAGCTCTTGACCAACAAAGCCTCCCGCGCCACTTATTAGGATTGAAGTTGACATTATGGTTTTTTATTTTTTATTTTTTTATTTTTTTATTTATTTTTGTAAAATGTTATTTGCTACAAGAGATTTTGTGAGAAGGGAGAATATCCCCTGGGGCTTGTGGAGTATGGGGCACTTTTCGATGGAGGGGTAAAGTTTTGTAAAGGTGCGAGGTAAACGAATGTAGGTCTCCGGTCAATTAGGTCTAAGAAATAAATTTCGAACCCCTTGTCTACCTAGCAATATCATAAGCATCTCCGAAGTATGTTTAGAATTTATATCCCGGAGGTTTAGACGTTCCATCATGTTTTAACAGGAGTTGCATGCGGGGCATGATATTATCCCTTCATCCCCACATCCACAGGGTGGTCACTGCATGGGTAACTCTTGGAACAAATACCCCATCATTCTCTGTGGCAGCCCAGCTAGACCGGACTTAGGTCTGAATATCAACAGCTGTATATGTTTAGATACATAGGGAGTTTGCGTCCCGAAAGCCGAATTTTGGTAACGCTAAACAGCTGCCCTCGAGAGATACTCTAGTTGATTGATAGACGCGCGCAGAGGAAGCTATGTCAAAGTTTCTTTCACTTCTTCATTTATTCAGTGCCATCGTCATGAGTAATATCAATTGGGTGGCTCCGTTATGGCGCAAATATAACATTTCCTACCAACAACTGAGAGATATGGGTGGCATGAAAGAAGCGAATTCCAACATCTTTTGATTGATTCGAAAATTGCCAATGGAAAATTAGGAAAATACAAAATATCAATATGAAAAGGGGAACAAAAAAATTGGAGCAGGATACATGTCGCTGCGGCCCACAAACATAGATCTGGAACGCACTGAAACGCCGTAGACTTCAGAAACATACATGAGAGGAAACATGGAGAAGCAAGGAAACATCACAGCAATAATCAAGACTCCCGGTAGATACCAGCAACTATACAATGGTCACGCTCGAAAGGTTCTGTACGTTTGATGTTAGCATTGCAAGGGAATAGTGGAGAGGGATGAAAAGAAGGAGAATACTGCTAACCTAGTGTGAGCTGTTCCTTTGGTTTTATCTTCTCCTCTCTCATCTTCTGGACTTCTCGTGCGAAGACTACCTCTGGCTTGGCCGTGCTGTCGATACAGTTTGCCTTGATGCTGACAATGACACCGCCACCAGCCTTCAGGAAGAGATGGGCATTGAGACCAACAATTCTAGCCTGGTCAGGCTGCGCAACGTCCGCGAAGATCACATCAACCATTCCAACCAGCATTCGATAGCGCAGTGGGTGACGGGCATCTTCGACAATGGGGATGACATTTGTGCGGTGAGTAGCCATTCCGATCAGGTCGCGGCCTGAGCGGTGCGAGAACTCAACAGCGTAGACGGTTCCGGTGGGTCCAACCAGATCAGCGACGTGGCTGACGGAAGTTCCGCTGGCGGCACCGAGATATAGTACTTTCGACCCGGGGCGCATGTAGATGTCGTCAAGACCACCCAGGATACCGGCGGCCAACTTGCTGCGGAAGGGATTCCACACACGGTACTCGACCTTGGTAGCAGCGGGGGTTTCACCGCTGGTGGTAGGTTGGTTTGATTCGACGGAGATACGCTTTTCACCATATACCGATTCGCCTGGGGTCAAGTTCTTGGTGACCAGAAGATCTTCCTTTCCTCCACGTGCGACGAAAACACCGGGGTGACGATGGGGTTCCTTTTACCGCAATAGCTTGTAAGTTTCCATACACACGTATACATGGCGCAGACTCCAAACGCGCAAGATTTTGGGGAGATGGGGCCATGGAATTCACGGAATGGCACCTACAATGATAACTTTGGCACCGCCCTTGGCGCCCGCGGCACCACCCCTTCCACCTCCACGGCCTCCACGGCCTCGGGAGGCACCTCTACCACCTCCCCTGCCTCCACCCCCGCGGCCGCCACCACGGCCACCGCGGTCTGAGAATCCCAGTCCTCCTAGCGATTGGTGGAAGAATGGAGTCAGCAAGGAGTCCCGCACGGCTTCGATCATGTTGTGTAGATCTTCCAACCCACAGGATCAAACCAAAGGTGCAACGGGGTGATGCATAACGAAAACCCAACGCATCACCATTCCAATTGCACACAAATTTCAAAGGATGAATTATTCAGATACACACCTCTCCCACCACGTCCACCGCCACGAGCACCTCCTCGGCCTCCTCGGGGGGGCCCACCCCGTCCACGTGGAGCTCCAAAGCCCATATTTCTTATGGTATCTTATATCGTTTAAGTGAAAAGAGGAAATTGATAAATCCCAAATGAAGGGAAGCAGCCTGAATCGGTTGTCGAAGCTGTTTGTCGCAGGCTAATGAATGTCGAAAATTCACACAAAATTTTCGATGGGCAGGGATTTAAATGGTGTTGGGTGTCCCGCGCAAAAGTGTTACTTCAGCAACGGCGCGCCGTGTCTAGTATCGAGTGTCCGCAACCGTGCAACGAGGGCGATATAGCAGGGGGCAAGGAATAGAAGGGAATTTGTCGCAAAAAGATGGATTTGAGATTTGTTTCCGTCAAAATCCAATTCCGCTGTTTTTTCTGCCCATAAAAGTTTTGGAGCTTGATATTCCTCTAAACCGCATATAGACTAGCTTACTATACTTCCAAGTCACGTGTAAATTTACATATGTCACGTGGTAAACTTGCCCTAACTCATCTGTCCGCTGTGTCAACGTGAAGGCAAAACATCGATACGAATTCAGGGTTGTTATTATCTGATTATTATCCAACAGAAATGGCCTAATATCGATCATGCTCGCTGTTTACTGATCAGGATTTTAAAGGGAACGAATTCTGCGTGGTTGTGTTTGAACTTGCTGCTTGACTCGCAACGTCTTGACGGGACATGAATGAGATAACTAACTACTAATTGTTAGGGAGCGAATGCGAGCTGCATAAGAAGGAAACTCTCTGCGTTGCTAACTGCTATATAACGAAATACTAAGCTTGATGGAATGAAAGGAGGTGCTGGGGCCTGCCCGGGTTATAACCACCCGCATGGTCGTTTGATCACGTGAGAATATTTGGCCTAACCGGGCGCCGAGCTTAATCCGACGTCGAGTCTAACCGGGCACCGAGCCTCGGTCGGGCTCGGTCGGGCGCTGAGCCTAACACTAATCGTGCCGCTGCGCAACCCACACCTTATGTGGGTGCGCCATACCAAAATGATAAAAACACCAAAATAATAAAAATCTTGCAATTTCATCATCTTCATCATCTTCATCAATTAATAACTCACCACAATGTCAAATAAGGATAAAAATATTGAAGACTGTATTCAAAAAGCTATCACTTATTATTAAAAAAACTTAAATTTCAAAATACTATCTCTGTCTTAAGAATTTGAGATTCCTTATCAATGTATTTGAGTGCATATCAATAGAAGGAATCTGAATACTGCAAAGATTCCAGTTAACAAGAGATTAAATAAGAGTCAGAAAAATGCAATTAAATGATGATCAAGCTGTTTGATGAAAAAAATTGTTCTCTCATAATTGAACATATTGAAGATTTTATAAATTTAATACTTAGACATTAGTATATAGATTCTACTATCTCTTTTTCAAAAGTTAACAAGATGTGAACTTATAGATTCATTGAACATCTATCTGAGTATAAAAGAGTGAAACAGAAGTCAATGAATTCAAAAAGAATAACAATTGAAAATATTGAATATATTAATGCATGATTTGAACATCTCTGAATTCTATTTAAGCAGTATCAATTTTATATTTATGACACATACAACTCCAATGAGATTGAATTTCAAGAAGGACAAGAACATGAAAAATAAGTTATAACTGCTTTTAAAGAAGCTAATTTTATCATTTTTTCTTTTTTTTTCAAAAGATTTGATTATAGTTATTGAATATGTATTCATGAATAATCATATCATTCCACTATTGATAATTTTAACCTTCAAAACACACTTGAAGAATTGATATACATAGATAGATTTACTCAGCAATTATAAAATTATTATATCAGATACAGAATTTATAAATAATGAAATTAAATTTGAATGATTTAAATATTTCAATATTACTATAGAAAAAAGATAAAAGAGAAGTCATCAATTACTTTTAATAAATAATTATAAATCTCATATTACTGAGAAGTTCATATAATATACAAATCTTCATAAGATAATTCTATATGAATTTTCATTGCATGTTATTTATTTATTATAATCTCTGAATAGTTTATCATTTCAGTAATAAAAGCATTATCATTTAAAAGCCGTCAACTATGCTGCATGTCATGGTCTTATTAAATATGAAAAACAATAGTTTCTACAAGACCTCTTAGCTATATGAAAGCAGATCTTTAAATTTGATATAATAGCTGCAAAATGAGCTCAACATAATATATATTCATGAAATTCTGACTGAGTTCTTGATACTCTTAAGCAGTGAATCTCATCACCTTCTCTACTACAGATTTATGAAGATGAGAATGATTCAGATCATATATCTATCTTTTTCTCTCAGCTATTCTCATCAAAGATAATTCAAAAGCTGAAACACTATATTAATATTACAAAAATACCATATAAAGTATTAGAGATACTTTTAATTTGAAATCACTCACTTTGACATGTCATTTAAACAAGATATTCAAAGCAAATCTAATTCATGTAGAACTTAATGAGCAATAGATTACTGAATTAGAGAACTTTCTCAATGTTAGTAAATACTGCAGAGCTAAAATAACTCATCATCAGATTTAAATAGAAGAAGTCCTCACTATTAAAGATGTCAATAGAAAAATCAAGCAGTGTAAGAATAATAAAGCTGAAAAAGAGCAGAATAAAAAGCAATAAAGGCTCAGAGTTGATTTTATGAAAATTGACAATAACCCATTCACATCACTAACAGAAGAGGAATTAAATTGATTTAGAGATGGCACACATACTGAGAATGATGTAGATAATCTTTTTATTATAGATTAGCTACTGGTTGTTGATATAGAGTGCAATAATGAGGATGTGATTCAAGATTTTTATCATTTTGATGTTTTTATCATTTTGGTGTGGTGCACCCACATGAGGTGTGGGTTGCGCAGCGGCACGATTACATGCTTTCTTGCAACATGAAATTACATTAAGATGGACAACTTCAATGGATCCTAGGGTTGACAGACATATGACACCGCAGCTCTCGTTGCATTACTGGCAGAGTTCCAGGCTTAAAACGAACAAATCAAAACGCTAATGAGAGTGTTTATGTCGTATGAAGCAGGTTTGGGACTTCGCAACTGGCCCTTCAAAAATGCGAGTTTATTTGTTGAATGACGGCTCAATGTGCTACCTTCACACGCAGTCCACAATCTATCACGGTCTGAATCAGCTTCTTGACTCATTTTTTTGTTCCTTCATCGCCTGACAAACACGGTACGCATCAACACAGGGTTCCAAGTTTCAACATCGACTCCCATTGGCGTGTCTTTATGCATGAAGGCCTTGCAATGACCTCAGAAAATGTTTAATGATGGGTGATGTCACCTTCAGCGATTTTGGGTTAACCTCTTCCCAAGAGAGCAAAATACACTTGAGCAGGGCACCCGAAGTGGCATAGAAACAGAGGGGCTGGACATAGGAGAGGGGGCAGGAGTGGTATTCCTGCTCCCACCTCCTAGCCGATGTTTTAAGAGAAACTTTGAGGTGAGTATGGGAGAAAGGAAGCCAATTAACTTCCAGATCTGGGGTTTGGTGTCATTGATCTGTCCACTATCAGTATCTCCATCAACACAGACACTGAGAACCGTAATTTGTTTCTAGAATGACTCGAGCTGCCGCAGTGTTTGATCATTTTAACTACACCCAGGGAAGGCCAAGCCGCTAACAGTGACTTGAACGCAATGCTTTTTCTGGCTAATCCGCTTAAATTCAAGGGTGGTTTGGTGTCTAACAACTGATAACCAATTTCAAAGGTCTTGCTTTGTTAAATATTTTAAACAATGTGATCCTTTGGATTGAAACATAATCTTGTGGCCTGATCCGTAACTGCATAATAAATGTCTTGTCCAGGATAACATTTAATTTCGTGGCTATCATGTCTTCTTGCTATAATTGGTACAATGCCTGGATAATATCGCTGACATATTTTACCCTGGCTTGCTGTGAGTTTACTCCGAAATCCCTGTTTCAAATCCATCCCTCCTGATATGTACGTTACATTTCTCCAGTCTCGAATCCCATATCATTCTCTCCCCTCAGCCTACTGCATCCCAATGGTATCGCCAGCGACGTCAATCTCCGCATCCTCCCACTCGGCGACTCTATAACCTATGGTCAAGGGAGCAGTGATGGAAACGGCTATCGTCTCCGGCTTCACACTCTCCTCTCCCCAAGGCATAATGTGGAATACATAGGCCAAGAGCGAGACGGCTCCATGAACAATAACCACCATGAGGGCCACAAGGGCTTCCCCATAGGCCCAGTTGGCATCACTGGCAAGCGAAACTACGCCGACCGCCCCAACATCGTCCTTCTAATGGCCGGAACAAACGATGTGGTATTCCAGATGAATCTCGAAAATGCGCCGAACGTGTTGGGCCAGGTTATTGATGAGATCTTGGCCGCGTGTCCAGACGCTGTCGTCCTCGTTGCAACGCTGACGCCACTGCTAGATGCAAATCGTGAAGCGAGAAAGGTCGCATTCAACGCGGCGTTGCCGGACATGATTGACCAGCGGACGAAGATGGGGAAGCATGTGCTTCTCGTGGATATGAGTAGGGTTACGAAAGAACATATCAATGCAACTGATGGGATTCATCCGACGGAGGGGGGGTATCAGTTGATCGCCGGTGCTTGGTATGATGGGATTGTTGCAGTGGGTAAAAAGGGATGGATTGGAGCGCCCATTACACCTCCTGTGGAAGGTGATGTTGCTGAGGATGGTGAACCTCCTATGGGGACGGCACCTGTTGATGCTAGGTTTGAGACTTCGTCGCAGCTGCTTTGGGTTGTGGCTGGAGTGTTTGTAGTTGGTTTTGCTATTCAGAGAGTGCTTCGCTCCTCTCGTTGGAAGAGGAGGTATGACTGGCCCTTGAGCTGATAGATGCTGTTGTATTTGAGGAAAAAATGGCTTGGCTCAGACAAACAATTGTTAACCGTTCAACATTCAAGTGGGGTCCCTGTCTGAAATGCCGGCAAGACCTGAGCTCATTCTCAGTGAGGGAAAGACAGCGAGCTACCTATCTTGCCTTCACTAATTTTAGAGGAAAATGATTTTATTGATCTGACACAGAATGATTGGAGCAGAATCAAGCATCCCTGCTTAATACTGCCTTTTGGGCTGTTCTTGAAGACATGGTTGTCTGACAATATTGACTCAGAGGCAGAGTCTCCAGGAAAACAAATGGATACTTTGAAAAGATATATATAACATGTATTAACCTGTTGTTATTCAACCAATTTGATATATTCAATCATTGTTACAATTTTGAACAGCAATGCACCAATGATGAGAGAAAATGAACAAGAAAGATGTAAAGAATAGGAGCCTTAATCAGCGCCTATCCTTGGGCGCAAAAACCGCATCGAAATACTCCTTCGCCTGCTGGCAGGTACCCTCTTTGTCCTTCCAGTCTTTAAATTGTAGCCCCTCCAGTGTACAAACCGTCCAGCGCACGTGAGACCAGTACTCCCGCTCAACATCAGGACCACCAAGACTGTCAATCGTCTCTTTCTCCGCCGTCCATGCGCGGGACGGTTTGCCATCTGGTCCGCGGATCGGAGAGACCTCTTCGCTGCCATTTCTGGACGGGTCAAAGAGGTTCACTGGGCTCATTTTGGAATATGAAGTGCGCAAGAAGAAGGCGTGCGGTATCGGGCCCGCGTTGGCGTCCTTTACATGATTTATGCCTTGGTTGGTCAGTTTGTAGTCCTCTGTGGGACTGTACTGAACAGTGGCAGAGCTGTCCAGATGGCCATTGGCATTGCGATGGCCAATGGATCGGATGGGCTCGTTGACAGCATAAAATGGCTCGTCTAGAACCGACGCTGCGGCCAGGTATGTTTCCTTGTCGCTTCCGCCTACGTCGCTTTGGGAGAGCAAGAGGTAGAAATGAGTTTCGCCGTAGTAGTTGTAGTAGCTTGCTAAAAGAAGGGTCTTCGCGTGAGTTTTCTTCGATATGAGGAGTTGTCCGCCATCAGTGGATGCTCGTTCTGATACGGGCGGCTCTGGTTTGGAGGCAATTGTGTTGAAAAACCGAGATGGGTCGGACGACCAGAAATCTGGCCATGTTACCAAACCGACGTGAGTAAATGGTTTAGACTGAAAGATTTCGATAGCGTCGTGTATGGGAAAGCAACTAGCATCGAGCCACAGGAGCTGTTCAAATGACGAAAACAGCATGGCAAAAGATTTTAGTTGAAATGGTTCCAACCGAGAAACGACGTTCGTTCCAAGGATGCCGGACAGCACGATACAGACGGCGTTCATTGTAGGGAGTATCTGCTCGCAAACAACTTCATCATATTGCTCCTGTGATGCAATGAATACCTCCACCGGGAATCGTGTACCACTGCGCCGGAGCAATCGCAAAGATATCACGAGAGTCGGGAGATATTTGCGTCCTGCAGCAGACACAATGCCCCGCTTGCCTCTATGATACACCAGTTCCAGGCTTGAATTATCATTTTTGATTTTCTGGACTACTCGCTGGTGAACCTGCTGGAGTTGTTTCACGTCTCCTTCGGAGATGGCGAAGAGGTCGGGCCGAGTATAGTTAGCATTGGGATCAAAGAGAACATTTTCCGCCTTCTTCAGTCGTTCTGGCGGATCAGTTGCTGGAGAGTTTGATTCAAGTAAATTATGGAGGTTTTTCCAGAATTGGACTTGACGTTCATAGCTAGAGTCTCTGGCAGGCGATGGGGCGGAGGGGGCTGAAGGAACCGTGTTCGATCGTAGAGGGATTCGTTGAGATCCAACAAACAGGAGGAATGAGAAGATGGCAAAGATGACCAATCGCTGGATTAATCGGGCCCGGGACAACATTTCAAATCAATAACATTGAGTCAGGTGCAAGAGCCCGTTAGATGGCGCAGTGAAGTGGAGCGTTCTCTACGTTGGTTGGATTTGATAGCACCAGCAGCTTCACTCCCAGCTGATCCGGCGATAACAATGCCCTATTGCGCTCGCGCATCCGGATGCATATCTGCTAGATGCACAGGAGCGTGATTGATGGATTGGCAGTGTTGACAGACATGATGAGTTCTGTCAAATATCGTGAAGCCTGGTCAATTTCAGTTGCCTGAGGCGGCCCTTGCGTCTTGGCGGTCTGTCGACGCCAAATGCAATCGAGTCTGACGTCTCATCCCTGCTGTGTTGCCGTATCTCCAATTGAATGTTTATTCACGGAATTAATGTCCTTATGAAAATCCTCCATCCCTGCTTTTGATATGCTATAATACTACCAATCAAATTGACCAGCCGTTGGTAGCCCTAAATGCCCAGGATTCCCAGGGGTCGTAGGTTGTTGGTTAACACAGTCTAACACACTCAAGGTCTCCGGGTCGAGCTTTTCTTTTTACATCATGGCTTTGCCGCTCAGTATTCTCCTGCTTTCTATTTTGCTTCTGGAATTTGGTTGAACGGCCGCGGGTTGGTTAAGGGGTGGTGCCGCTGAATTGATTTTTAACCTTGGCTGAGTCGTGCTCATGAGATGTCCCGACTCTGAACTAATCACATTCTTTCTGCATTCTTGTTCGCCAGAGTTCTGCATTTAGCTGGAGGGAGAATAATGATGCCACGGGCAACGAGCTCTCGGTTGTAGAAGCCCATTTATTTTTAGAACCTTCAAGCGATCAGGCTAAGGATACAAGGTTGAAACAACCTGGCACGTTTTTGACAAGCTCACAATTCGCCAGCGAATCGGTTGAGGTTCAACGTGCATATCTGAACTTCCAAGCTCAAAATATAAATAAAACAGAGATATTAAACACCCCCAGAACCCTGCGAGGCCTTTTGAGCCAGTGTTGTGGGCGCAATGATCCTCATGATATTAGCAGCCTGGAGGCTGGGCGCTTAACACAGGGCAGCCACTTTATGACGTAGTGCCATCCATACAGACAGAAAGCCATGATAATATTCCAAAATAGCCCAGGTGTGCAGAATGGCAACGCCATTTTTAGCAAATCTAGCCATGCAGAAAACCATGGGCTGAACAATGAGTTCACTGGCCAATGGGCTTTGCGCTCGATCTTGCATTTCGACATGTTGCAAATGCTCTTTGCTTCCTACAATCGTACCTCCGCATGATCACCAACGCCCATAACGCATGTCACAAGATGGCTAAGGGTGGAGGCAACGCAGCATTGTTGAGCATTATTGCTACTGCTAGGAATCGATTATTTCAACAAGGATTCTCAAAACCGCCCTCTCAGGAGGCATCAGGCTCTGGACCCGTTCCCCGCCTCCATTGTCTTAGGCTAAGTCCCCCGTTTAATGATCTAATGCCTAGTTCAACCTGCGTATGGGCACAACTCTAGTAACCTTCTCAAGTCCACTAACATCAGTGTTCGTCAAACCGTTAAATTGTTCTCCTGATCTGGGTTTTGGGAGAATCCACTTTATATTGCCTTGCCTTAAGGTGCTCTATAGAGCATCCTTGATCTTTCCACCCTGCTCCGATCTCACAGTCCGGTGTTCAGAAAACAAAACTCTGACGATATCCTTGATCGTTGTCAATCTTCAATGTTTCCTGATCGGAAAGGTAGAAGAGATGCTATCGACTTTCGTCATTAGACACTGCAATATCTTGAAGATCTGCCCGTCTGGGTTCTTGTTCACCAATGTGAACTATATGCTTCGCTTCGCTGTCAATTGGGAGATTTGGAGCTACAAGAAGCAGGTCGAACCTACTGCTTTCTTGGTATTCTAGCAGCCGATATAGTCTCGGGCTCGTCAAATGAGTAAATGTTTTATATAGCTAACATAGAGCGTACTTGAGTATAGAGCTGTAGACTTTCTTTGAGCTTCTGTGAGGATTTTGGGGCCCATGGAGATGTCCGGGAAGAACACCACCATGCTGTAAACACAGCGGTGATATAGATTGTCCACAGTGGGCAGAAAGGCTCTATTGCACATGCCATCAAAATATCTCTCAAAGTTGAAGCAAGTTCTGATGCCAACTTCCTCTGCTGGGCCCCAACATCAATTAACTGCTCGACATTAAAGTGAATGTATCGATGCATGACTTTATAAACCTCATTTTGAACGAATCGACCAGGCGTAAAAGAAAGAGTTTTTGGATTCAGATTCGTAGGAGATTGGCAATGATACTTACTCACAAAAAAGGGCAGTTGCTTTGAACTCGCAGCCATTATGTGTAATGGTATTGAGCTGGTTATCATAGGATGTACACAGTGCATAATATAGGAGGAATGATAAATGGTGTGAAACAATTCTAGGATGTCCTTATAATGGTGGATCGTCATAATGGCTGCATAGATGATGAAGGCGACATATGGTGTCTCTGACAAAGATGAACATTAGTAATACACTAACTAACTACAACTAGTTACACTAGTTAACTAGTTAGTTAGCTGAAGTTAGTTAATCGTCGATTAGATTCAAATAATAGTACGCATGTTTATAAAACTCATATTTCTAACACTGCCCCACAGACATCAGTTTATTCGTATCTAAATAAAAGAACGGACTCGATCGATATTCTTTAAATCTGAGGATTCCAGAACATTAGACCTAGTCCAACGGCGTATCAAGCGTCCTCAAGCAGAACAGAACTCGCACAGTCAATGGCCAATGCAAACCTGCCAGACCTCTTCTGGAAGCTGTCGAAATGCGATATTCGGCATCTAGAACTTGGCACCACGAAACCCCCGGGAACGCCTTGGCGGCTGTAACCAATTTGGCACAGTGGTTTGATGTCCTAGTTTGTGTCCTTTTGGTCCCATGCCTGTTCGCATGACACCAAACACACCTTATGGAAATGGGATAAACATCGATCAAGGTTCTCTTGAGCACGTTAGATAAAAAGCAGGCAGGATAACTTCGATATCAACGATTCCGGGAATATTGAGCCCCTTAAAGTGGGCGCCAAAAGCAGACACACTTTGGCTGGTGGAAAACCCCCGTGCAATCAGGGATCGCGACGGGCAGTTTACCTAACCCACCCAGGTTAGTTCTCATTTCGTGCATGGTTTGGTTCCTCCAAACAAACGAGTTCATCATTGCTTAGAGTCCATGATTAGTCCTCGTTGTTAATTTCCTCCTGTCTATTATCGGTAAGTATGTCGAAATCGGAAGCAGCAGCCGCTGAACTTCAACAGCCGACGAGAGAGGATATTCAATTCTCTTCGTCAACACCTTCGTAGTGATATCTAGACATGGTGGGAATTAAACTTCATCGTCGTTCGGAAACAGAGACATCGGAAATTGTCTCAACACTTATGCAGAATATTTGAACAATGCAGGGAATGTAGTCATACATAATTATTCTATAACAACAGGTTCCCCTGGTTGTTGACAAGAACTTGATTGAGATTTAAGATGCACCGTCGTCATTTTCATGCCTTGACAATAATGTTGACGCTGAATCCTTCAATGCTGGATGGTTATGGAGGGGGGTTCACTGGGGAATATCCCCGCAACAACCCCCTGTGGTTTAGCCATGAATGCTTAGCATACACCATCCCATTCCCCCGATTCCGGGGGGCGGGGTAGTTGTGCTAACTTGACTACACCATAGATCCGCGGAAATGAAAAGGAGAGAGGGGTTATCCGAGGAGTTACATTTCTCCTGAGAACTATCATATGTATGATCATACATATCAGAAGTGCGCGGACTACGCTAAAAAACATCCCCCGTTGCGAGGCCTTGACGATTTCCCCTTGTGCTGGCTTACGAGGTAAGTTGAGTTTGTTCTGTGAGCTTGCAGGATAGGTCCACTGTCAGACAGACAAAACGACAGATGAGTTTATGAGTTGGAGCGGTAGTACATGTAACCCTCGCCGCTTGTGTGTTTCCCGGCTAAGACGTTAGCAATTGAGGCGTCTGCGGGAATAATAATTAATGGGCGGGGGATTGATTGATCCTAGGGTATTCATTTACTATGCTATGGCTGGGATGACCAAACTCTGTGAAATTCTTGATGAGTACGATCTCTTTTACGACATGGTGTTGTGCTGAAGAGGTTACATCTGGGGTTGATGATGAGTAGAGATGGATAATTGTGAGATGGGGCGGAGACTTAGTTACTTAGATCCTGAATTGGACTTTAATATTTCTGAGGTTTGAGGTTTTTGTCACTGATAATCCAAGGTGTGACAGATCAGCTGGCTTGGATTTTTTTTTTTTTTTTTTCCCCTTCTTTCTTTTATTTTTTTAATTTTTCCAGAGTCCCATTTGAAACAGTGGTGATTTATATCCCAAGAGCTGATGTTAGTTTGTAATCGTCATGCGTTAGTTCGGGGATTGTTCACAGTAACTGTGGCAGGGTTTCACTAGAGCAGCTCAAAGTGATATCTTAGATGCATTTTATAAAACACGTCAGGATGGATTTGAGCTTCGTGGTAATTGACCGCGTGAGGATTGTTTCACTATACTTCCAAGCTGAAGCTCTAAAAAAGTGATATTTTAGACGTGTTTGTTGAAGATTGTGAGGTTGGATTTTAGCATTAGGATAGTTCCTGAGGAGGTTCGTTTCACTCTGTGCAGCCGAGCTGCAGGTCTCAAAATTTTAGATGCATTTGTGCAAAATATCAAGTTACCTTTGAGTTTTGATGTCACAGGAAATTTCGTTTCACTTGAAGTAGTAAGCAGAGGGACCGTAGTTTCTCCCATGTATCCACCATCCTGATTGATGTGTCCAAATTCAACAGAGTCCGATGAAGAAAGTCGATAGAGAGTGGATGTTACATGTTCACAATGCCGAAGAATCTATACAATCCATTGGTTACAGAAATCTTACACCTCAGACAAGGAAAAGTGACGACGTAGTTGGCGTATAGCAAGCAACCCCATGGGGATAAGTTAATATGCTGGACTCGAGCTGGTGAAGCACGGCGCACAAGTATCCATAACTAGTCTCCAACGAAATGGTTTTTGGGTTTTCTTTCTTTTGATCGCCTGTTTCCCCGCCACAATCAGTAATCGCAATTAAGGAGGCTGGGATGAGGGGGTAAGACATCACGGAGGCGTTTCGCGATGTAACCAACTGATTGATGGACTAAAGTCAGAAAGAGGTTTGTGCAAGCTGGCTATGTTGAATGCATTGTGATGGTTTCGATTAGTTTCGACGGGAAGACTTGTATGTTTAGAACATACACAAATGTAAAACAAAGTACTCCAGGAGCCAACACTAAGATGACCAGAAGTTGATTTGTTCTGTCTATCTAGCTCAGCCGGGAGATAAGGTGAGGGGTAGGTAAGATATGGAGGAGACGTTTCGAGATGTAACCGAGATAATGTTCAGATAATGAAGTCGGAAAGAGGATTGTGCAGGCTGGTGGTTTCGAAGGGAGTACCTAGATACTTGTAGGAAGTAATACGTAGTGCTTTTTGAGAGAGAGGCGTCGTAGATAGGATCAACTGAGAGATGTTTTCCTTCTGGATTAGTGGTCGAGATAAACATCCCCGAGCGCGCAAGAGGCTTATCTAAGGATAGACTATGCCATCCTTCCGTTGGCCATCGGAATGTCCACTGGGATCCTCTTTTTCCCTTTTCTCCCACCTAGCCTTTTAGCGGGCGCGTACGTGCTTGCTCTTGGAGGGTACTGCTCTCATCGTCAGGCATTGTAATATCATCACCCTGCGAGCAGTTGGTGTTAATTGAGTGCTGATATGGATACTCCCATATGGATGGGGGACCCCCCTCCCACCCAGCAGAACCTAGCCACTCAACTATTATAGTGGCACTGAGCCCCAGCCCCTGTAACCCGTCAGCATATTATTCGCACCTGTTCCTGAGTGTCACCCAAAGAAGCAGCCTATATGGGGAAGGGGGGCCGGCGTTTAAGAGTCTATGCACCAGGACCAATAAACAAGCCCCACAGGCGAGATGCTCAAACCCAACCACGCCCAGATCTCAACAGGGATCTGGCAGGGGATCTAAAATAAGACGGTTCCATGGTTCCACTCTGGACGCTAGTCCGCTTTGGGAAGCATGTTTTCTCTTCCCGGCCCCCCAGGCGGACCAAATTCGCAAGTGGCAGGAAGGACCCACCCCTGGCCCAACTCTAATTCTCTCACCTGCTGCGTGGGTGTGGAGACCGCGGAGCCGCTGCGGTGGGGCTCCAGCTGGCCAATCAGCGAGGGCAGTGTGGGTGCGGAGTCGATTGCAAGCGGGAAACGCTAAGAAACAGGCCCAAATTGTGTCAATGCGTCAAAGGCGACGGTGTTTCTGCTGGCGTCTACATGTTCTTTGTATATAATTCGGGATGTCGATCTCGAAGAGTTGCTGTGTTTTTTTTTTCTTTCATGGTAACTTCCTTTCATGATTCTGTTTTTCTTTTCCTCTCTGTGATATCTTGCTTCTATCTCGGTGTTCATTTCTTCCAGTTTCCCTTTTTGTATCTTTTCTTTCTTTCTTTCTTTTTTTTTTACCATCCTCTTCCTTGCGTGTTTTCTAAATTATACTCACGATTTACTTGTTTATTTCACTTCCTAAACACCAGGCTGGTCCGTTTTACATATCTCTTCTCAAATATACTCCTTGCGTCCCATCTTTCTCGTCGTTCTCCCCTCAAAAATCAGCACGGAATTGGTGGTTGTCATTGCCATTATCGCCGCTCTACATCTACCTGAAATCTTACATACGGGATCTATATACCATTATATTTTATGACAACTACATATATCTACGTATATGTATAGATACATGTTATGAAAGCCAAAAATTAGATCCTCACCAAGAAACAACACATACACAACATGCAATTTCTCCTCCTGATGGTCTCGATGGCCTCGATAGCCTCCACCGCTCTAGCTGTTCCGCCAGGCTGGTCTGCAGACACTGCCAAGTTCTATTCCGGTGTGTTCAAAGAAATCCTCAGTGCCCGTAAGGAGAACAAAGACCCAAGAAGTCCAAAATGTGACCTTTCGAAAGCTGTGCTGCCCTCCACGAATGAGCCACTACCGCCGGTTCCAGAGGGCCAGAAATTGCTACATGTTACTATTGGGCGGGGTACTCAGGTATGTTGCGAACATCTATATTTTTTTTTATATCTGGAATTTTTTTATTTTTTTTTATTTTTTATTTTTAATTTTGGATATGAATTGGCACATGCGCTCTTGTATGGACATATGGAGATACTCTTACTGGGTTTCTTTTTCTTTTTCTTTTTCCGACCCTTGTTTGGTATAAGCCGTACCTGCGCCGGCTGATAACCGAACAATAATGCGTCAAACGTGATCAAAAAAAAAATAAAAAATGAAAAATAAAAAATAAAAAATATCACAAATCAATAGATCTACAAAGCTAAAGAAAGCCAGGAAAAAGAAATCCCCAAAAAACAATTGACAATACATAAAATACACATAATGAAAAATAAATACTAACCAATCCCCCCAACCACCACAACAGAACTACACCTGCTCCTCCCCAAGCGACAAACCAAAAGCCATCGGCGCCGTCGCAACTCTCTTCGACGTGAACTGCATAGCCTCAAACTACCCCTACCTTCTCTCCCTCCTCCCAAACATCGCCCTCCGACTCCCAGCGCCCATCTTCCCACCCCATCCCCGCTCAAAACCCTTCACCTTTGGCCCCAACAACATGAAAGTAGCCGGCTCCCACTTCTTCAACGGCCAGGGAGTCCCCATCTTCGACCTCGGGGCAGACGGGAGTGCTGCCGTTGAGAAAATCGCGGCTGTCGATGCGCCCAAGGGTGCTATGAAGGGGATTCCAGGCCAGATGAATGGGGCGGTGCAGTGGCTGATGCTCACGGCGGTGAAGGAGAGTACGGGGAAGGCGAAGTCTGTTTATCGGGTTAACACGGCGGGGGGGAAGGCGCCCGCTACTTGTGAGGGGGTGGAGGCTGGGAAGGTTTTGGAGATGCAGTATGCGACTGAGTACTGGTTTTATGGATAGGTGGTTTTCAATGGGGGTTGAGGAGCGTATTGGATTTCGATGAGTTCTGGTTTTGGTCTCTCCGTGGAAAGAAAAGATTCCAAGGAAACCAAAAAAGGGGAAAGAACAAAGCAAAAAAGAAAGGAAAGAAAATAAGAAAAGAAAAGGGAAACATTATCTGATTGTTGGATGTTGGGGCGGGATTCTCTTTTGCTCAAGCTTATCACGTTGTACAGTGGGCTGGAGTTTTGTGGAGCTATTCTTGGTTTTTGACGCCTTGCGTCGCCTTGATTCTTGTCAATTGGACGAGTGTGTTTTATTACTTTCACTAGTCACATATTTATTCAGTCATTCTATCTTCCAGGATACAAATTTCACTGTCTATGATTGCTTCTTCTGGAAGCGAATCAATTCCTTACATTTGCTAGTAACTAACTGGTACACTGGTACACTGATCCATGGTTCATGGTTTAATGGTTCCCGTCGCTCCCAAGAGACTCTGTCCCAAGGAAATTGGAAAGGCAAAGACAAGTTGCCGCATTAACCACTATCATTACCAAAACGATCTACCTAACATGTTTTTATGTTGTTGAAATCAGGTCTGTTTGTAGTACAATATATATATCCATACATGCGCAAGCAATGGAGGAGATTGGTTATATAACATACCCGTAAAATCAAGATGGTAAAAATTTGATGTAATACACAAAATAATTGCTGGGGCCGCCGCATGCACATCCTGCAAGCAGTCAGGGAGAACCAAGGGAGAAGAAAAATCATGAAACAAAACAGCAACGTTGTGATGGATGGAACCAAGTAGCCAAAAACAAGAAACAGCTAAAATTATAGGGGATACCCAGCGCAACACTAACATGATTGAAACCACTCTCGAATCTTGACACCAAATCGAATAGATCGACCTATTGCGCAGGACCATTGAAGGTTTCCTGCCGCCATTCACTACCAGCAGGACCACCTGCAGCTCGCCTCCCAGCACCAGCAGCGGCGCCCGCCGACCCCGCTGCGGCAGCTTGACCAAGCGAACCTAACGCAGCGCCCGCCGCCTTCCTCTCAATATCCGCCGTGCTCATCATATACAACATGACAAACAAAAGTACATGCAACGCGACGCAGTACCCCGCAAACAAATTCCTGCTCGTCCGGTTCGCAAGAACCATCCTCGTGACGGAAAATATGATGCGTTCCGGCACGCTCATGCGCCGGTACGCACGGGCCGATTCGCGGCCGCGGAAGGCGGCGAATGGGGATATTTGCGCTTCGTAGGCGGACTGGTAGCGGTCTGCGGAAAGGCCCGATGGAGATTCTGCGGAGAGATGGACCGATGTCGCGTTTGGGATATTGGCGTAAGCTGAGGTGGATGAGGCGGAGAAGTCATCTCCCCGGCCACGATTGTAGGTGGAAACGTAGCGAGTCTTCTCGTACAAGCTTAGGTTATCCTTTTGGAGAGAGGCAACTTCCTGACGTAGGGATTTGACGATTGCGTATGTCTTTGATAGCTCTTCTTCCAGTTCGCTGTTCTTTTGTTTGAACCGGTCTCGCTGGGCTTGGACCATAGGTAGAATTCCTGAGCCACCGCCAACTGCCTCTCCGGCTCTAATGGCTTCCATTGTATTTGCGGAGGCATTTGCATGATCGAAACCAGATATGATTGAGGAGGTTGGTGAGGCCCTGCCTCTGCGGGAGGAATGTGGGTACCTGGATACGTAGGGACCCGCAACTGACATGGAAGATGACGGCAAGTTTGGCGCCTCCCTCTGCATCTGGAGAAGGTCATTTTCTAGGGTAGTAGCCAAATTCTGAGCTTTTTCGAGGTCTACTTTTGTTTTGGAGAGATCCTCGCGCAGAGCTTCGAGTTGGTTTTGCAAGTCTTGGTGTGAGACTCTCAGAATTGTCAATTCATTTGAGAGCTTTTTGTTCCTAGTCAATAAGAGCTGTTCTAGGGTGTTCTCTTTCGATCTTTCAGAGCCATTAGGGGCAACCAAATCTGTCTCGTCCACTGCATCTCTGTAATCATCATCCGCCGTGTAAAACTCAATAGACTATTTCAGTTAGCCATGCATACAATATAAAACAAAACCAAATCAATAGTTACCTTTATGACTTCGAGTTCTCGCCGAATATCATCATAGTCTGCCCATTTATCCAATTTGGCTTTTATTTCATCTCGTTCAGCAGTGACTTTCTTATTTTGCCTCTCCACCTGTCGGAGCTTTCCTTCCCAAGAATGCCTCTCAGCATCTTTCTCGTAGCGAGCGGAATCCAATTTACGCAAGAGAGACGAGTTTTCGGATTGCAAGCGTAGGTATGCGGGATCGTCCTCTAGAGTGTGGTATCGGTGCTCTGACTGAGAATGGGACACAGCTTGGGCCAGCTCTAGGCTCAGCTGTTCGTTCCGAGCTTCGACCTCTGCTAGGCGCACACCGGTCTTCTCAAGCTCTGAGGCTACAATTTCAAGTTCTGCTGCTGTGGCAGCACTTCTTGACATGTCTTCACCGTCTGCTCGGTCTAACCTTTGGTTTACCTCGTAGCTTGCCTTGATTTCCCTCAGTAGCCGTTCGTGGTTCTCAGCTTTGGCCTCATAATTCTTCTCCTTGGCTTCCCAGTTGCTTGTCTTTTCAGCCAGCACTGCGGCCCATGAAGCTTCGATTTCCTGAATCTTCGTGTCCTGAGTTTCTTCGAGCTTGCGACGGAAAGATCGTTCATCCTCCAACTTCATTTCCGATTCCTCCAACTGAGACGTCAGACGATTTACGCTCTTTTGCAAAAGCTCTTTCTCGGATGTTAGCTTAGGAACCGTGTCTTCAGACAGGACCAAAGAATCTACGGACGCTTCGAGGAGAGGATATGGATCGGGGGCTTCTGATAGAGCAGAGTATAGTTGTAAAAAGGCGGATGAAGAAGTCTTCCCATGGTTGGTCAGGAGATCAATAAACGTTTGGTATGCTGTAGGATTTCGAGGTCAGCACCTATTGACAACAAGGAAGTAAGCTGAGGAAATCCTCTCATACACTTTAACAAGCTTTTGTATTCAGCCAGTTTCGTTGAGTCGTCGAGTTTCCTAAAATCTTTAGTTTTCTGAGCTAGATCTTTGCGCTGCACCAGAGAATCTCGTTGATGAGCTATGATATCCGATGCCGTGGTATCTAGCTTCGGAATGAGGTTCGCCAAGTCGACGCCTTGATTCTGAGTGAGTAAAATTTGGTCACATTCCATTACGCGGATCGTCTTCATAATTTACCTCTCCATACTGCAATAGCCTGCTGGAACTTGTTTTCCTCGCGGACTTGCTTCTCAGATTTCGCAGGTTCACCCGAAGGACTGTTTTCGGTTGACGTGCTCCCATCTCGCACGGTCTCAGATGCTATCAGGGCATCCATGGGCTAACATAAAGTTCAGGCTGTTTCAGGCATATAACTTAAGCATACTATAATGAGCAAGTTGAATATGCAATCTTCATAAAGTCTTCTGCAGCGATTGGGTCGACTAATGTCCAATGTATGTCGTCAGTTTGACAGTTAGTTGTTGATATCACCGTGAGATGGTTGATCAACTGGGCCGGATCAACGTTGTTCCATTAACGGGTGCCTCCCGTCACGCCGCATTTTGAGGCAAACAAAACTAACTCCTTTAACATTCAACACCATACCCTTTAGCTGCTCGTGTCAGCTGGGAGATGTCGAGACATTGGGTTCGAGCTATACGATGAGTTCAGGTGACGATACCGATGGTCCCCGCAAAAGACGGTGTGTAGCTCCCTCTGAAACCGGTCCTTACATCCTGAGACAGCTCATAGATCCGGTTCTTGTGGCAGGAGAAGGGACCGAGGATGGCTATATCACCTGTGTAGAATATTGGAGTATGTCTAGCATTTCCTCTTTTGGGGAGTTATTAACAGCACTGTTGGCTGACATGAAATAGAGGATAATCTTTACGTTGGAAACTCCGCTGGCGAGATCCTTCATTTCGTGTCATTCCCTTCCGACTCTGAGGAATCAAATGAACCATCTTTCATTCTAGCATCAAGATTACCCATCACGCCTTCGAAGAGCGGCATACCACCAGAATCACCCTCGGGGGTGCAGCAGATACTTATTCTTCCGTCCACGAACAAAGCTTGCATATTATGCAATGGTGTCGTCACCTTTTACTCGCTCCCTGAACTCAGCCCTACATACGGGGGCACAAAAGTGGGCAATTGTAAATGGATTGGCGGACTAAACCTTAATGAATCCATTGAGAATGGAGAGACTTCTAGCCCTGTGGTGATGATTGCTGTTTCGAATAGAATAATGCTGGTTAGGATTGGCGATGAACCCCGAAGGGTAAGAAACATTGAATTCCCAGGATGTCTTGTATCCGTTCGAAGAGATACTATCGCCTGTGTCGCAGACTCATATTCCTACTCTCTACTGGAAGTGGAACACCTCCAAAAGATTCCTCTATTTCCGATTTCATCATCGGAAGAGAGTTTCGAGTCTGGCCACGTGGAAGATATACCAGCTCAAACCGATACTCCAGTTCAAGGAAACCTCTCTACTTCCTACGGAAATGCGCCGGGACATAGTAGAAGTGAGAGTTTATATGCAGTTAATAACATTGGACGTTCCCAACCAAGCCCGCATCCGAAGTTTCCTGAACGATCGAGCTCTTTAGCTTCTGAGAATTCCTTGGGGAATAAACCCCCCGGATGCCCAGACTCCCCAGAGGGAAAATCCCCCGATACATCAGGACCAGTTTCAGAAGTGGTTGGTTCAGGCTCAGAGCAATCTTCTTCTTCCAACAACCAAAAATCACTGCCCCCTCCTCCTAAAGCATCGCCTACTCGGCTCAAACCCCACGTTGTGTCTCCAACCCCTTCCGAGTTCCTTCTAGTTACGGGCACTGAACCGTCAGAAGCTGGAGTGGGTATGTTCGTAAATGTCGATGGTGATGTCGTTCGAGGGACCCTTGAATTTCCCAAATACCCGGAAGCTATTATAGTCGATGACGATAATGAGGGAAATCAGTCGAGTGCAGGTGATGACAGTCAGAATGGATACGTTTTGGCAGTTATTGGTGCTGACGATAAGGAGGATGGCCGAACATATATCGAGGTGCAGAGATGGAATACGGTTTCGGGAGAAAGTGGACTATACAAGACATCAATAGAGATTCCTCCAACCGATCTAACTTTCGCCCCTGTTGGTATTCGCCATACTGTTAGCCCAAGCAGCATCTCCCTCTCTGAAATTGGTGACGTGATGCGTATGGTTCGATTAAAGGCTACAAATGTTTCACCTTCAACCCCAACAACGCCACCAGAGAATACAGATCCAAGGACTCAAGCATCCCTTGAACATTTGCAAAAGGAAAAAGAGCTTTTCGATGGTCAGGAAACCGACTCTGACGGTTCGAAGTATCCATCTTCGTCACGTGCTCGTCATGATTGGGAAGTTGAGAGAAACCGGGAAGAAGCCAAATTTGCCCGCGGACTGGCAACAGTTAAGAGTAGTATCATTCTTTGGGAGGGGAACCAAATATGGAGGGTCCTGCGGAAGCCTTTGGTACTTCAATTAGATAACACTCTTCAACTTGCTGAGCAACGCATAGACAACGATGAAGAGCAAGGGGGTGTTGACAAAGAAGCAATTATAAATCTTATCCAAGGACTTCAGGGTATGGAACCTAAAACTGAAACGGAATACCTTGGTTTACGTTACGTCAGGCAGAAGGCAAGTCTACTTCTCCTTGTTGACTTGCTTTCGCAAACCATGGCAACCCCAGACGAATCCGCAATAAAGGCAACAGAGGATGCCCTTGTTGTCGGAGAGTTGGACCCTCGAGTGGTGCTCCTTTTGATACCACTGGTTAGAAATGAGGTACTTCAAGGTCCACAAGGGATCTGGGTTTATAATGGTCTGGTTAAAGTGATATCACCATTTCTCATTTCGCCGGATGAAGTAGCGACAGATCAACCCTCTGGATTCGCCATTGGTGATACCATAAACCATCTGCTTAAACGGTATCTGATTGGCTGGCAGAAAAAGCGAGGATATGGGAGTGTAACAGATGAGACATATGTGTTTAATACTGTCGACGCAGCATTACTCCATTTACTTCTTGATCTGGATGCGAAAAATATTCGTGAACGAAATGTCACCCCTGGGGCCTCTGTGAGATCGGAGCTCAACAAGCTTGTTGACAATTGGAAGGGCAATTTTGATAGAGCCGTGCAGTTACTTGAAAGCTACAACAGACTATTTGTGCTCAGTCGATTATACCAGAGCCAGAAAATGGCCAAGCATGTTCTGTCGACGTGGCGGAGAATCGTGGAAGGAGAGAAAGATGAAGGGGGAGAATTGTCCGGGGCAGCTGCTGACATTCAGATTCGGAAATATCTGGTGAAGATCAGAGATGTTCAGCTGGTTGAGGAGTACGGGCCATGGCTGGCTTCACGGAACCCCAAGCTTGGAGTTCAAGTCTTCGCAGACGATAGTAGCAGAGTGAAATTTAACCCACCCCAAGTAATTGCGCTGCTCAAGAAGCGTGCCCCAGGGGCTGTTCAGGAATATTTGGAACATCTTGTTTTCTCCAAACATGTATATGTTCCCTCCTCCCCTTTTCCTCGTCTCACTGGTTTTTGCTGCTAACTATATTACAGCATACCCAATACACGGACGACCTTTTAGCCTACTACCTTGACACTGTTCTCTCCGTCCTCGAATCCTCCCCCGAAGCTCGCACCTCCTTGACAGAATCCTACTCCACCTACCGCGCCCTCCAACCCCCAAAACCCTCCTACCTCAGCTTCATCACTTTCAACCACCCCCCGGAGCCATGGTGGCAGTCCCGCCTGCGACTTCTCCAACTACTGGGAGGCGGCTCAACTACCCAATTCACCTCCACCCAACCCCCAACAAACCTCTCTTATTCCATCTCCACCGTCCTCGCGCGCATAGAGCCATTCAAGAATGAACTGGTCTCCGAAAGCATAATCCTCGACGGCCGCCAGGGCCGGCATCGCGAAGCCCTTAGCCTCCTCATACACGGCCTCAGCGACTATGACACTGCGATCCGCTATTGTGTATATGGTGGCCCATCCACGTCGACGACAATGACAACAACCGCCACGAATGAAGCCGTATTACCGCAACCAGAACTCTTTACCCACCTGCTTTCTGAATTTCTCCAAATCGAAGACCCGTCTGTACGCATTGAGCGCACGAGTGACTTGCTCTCTCGCTTCGCGTCTGTGTACGATATCGCTGATGTCCTCCGGCTTGTTCCGGATGAGTGGAGTGTGGATATCCTGAGTGAGTATCTGGTGAGGGTGTTGCGGGGTGTTGTGAACGGGGCGCGCGAGGCGAAGGTTCAACGAGCGCTGAGTGCGGGGCTGTACTTGAGGGTTGATGCGGGGTATGGAGAGAAGATAGAAGAAATTGGGGGGTGGGTGGAGGACGAGACGGGCGTTAGGGGGCTGAAGGCGAGGGCGGAGCAGGAGGAGGAAGTCGAAGGAAGTGAGGATGGAGATGCAGATGGGGGTGTAGATCAACTTGGTCGTATTATAGTTGAAGGGGAAGGAAGTTTACGATGATGGTTGTTGTGAGAGTTTACCCCTCAAAGGTTATGTGCTGTACGTATATGCATGAAATGGTTTTATATAAGTATACTTCGTTTCTTGATGCTCCTTTACGTATTTCCTCATATTCATATCACATTTTATTTCGTTCTGGTGGTAATGTACGTAACATTATAAATAAATAAACCGGAAATTAACCCGGTATCTGCCTTACACCATGTATTACTGGAACAAAACATAGGCCTCCTAAAATCAAACCACCGAAAAAAGAACAATCACCTTCAATCAACATCAAGGACAGGCAACCCATCTAACAATCTAACATTCCACCCTAACTTTTCCAATGCCTCCTTAGAGTTCCTCTCCCGCAGCGCACTCGCTTCAGCTTCTGATACCAGGACAAAGTCATACTGCAGCACAGGCGTGCCCAGTGGAACATCATATTTCTTCGCCACATCTGGATCCGTAAGTGGGTGTAGGTCGACGATGAGAGAGGATTTGACGCCGAAGACGGCGTCGGAGGACTCGTAAGGGTCCCCGCGGAGGTAGATGGCTCTATCTCTGGTTAACAGATACATCCATCAAACAGGTTAGGTTTTGGAAAGAAAAATGAGTGAGCAAATGAGTGGGAAGGCGAATCAACATTGCAAACGTGCAATCCACCCCATTCCAGGGGGTAAATGTGAACAGACAAACATACGTTATCAAATCATCCCAGCCCTCCTTCTTGAACATGAAATGCATATGCGCCGGCCGATACGAATGCCTCTTCAACACCCCCAACAACTTGCCAACAGGCCCATCGTGCGGAACTGGATACGACACCGGTTTAATGGCCTTGAACCAGAACCTCCCTGCCTTATCCGAATACATAACCCCCCTCCCATCCGTTGCTGCCCCGCCTCGTCTCTGCCCTTCCGCATACTGCACGTCATAATGCCCGCTGCTATCTGTCTCCCAAATATCCACACTAACGCCCTCCAGCGCATTCCCTGCCCCATCCTTCACAGTACAAGTGACCAGCATCAACTCACCATCCGGGTCATTCGAGAGTAAACCCCCATTCTCCACCTGCGGGGCGTCATGTGTGTGGAATGGGCCCAGCACAGAGCCTTCCGTGGCGCCTGGTGGCTTGGGATGATCAATCGCGTCAACCAGCGCCGATAGGGCCAGTATGTCTGACAAGAGGATGAATTCGTTGCGCTGGGTCGTGCAAGTTTTACCCACGTCGATGAGGAATTGGAGGCCCGCGGACCATTCTGCAGTTGATAGGCGGGTTTCGCGGGCGAAGTCGTGTAGGTGGATTACGAGGCGGGAGAAGATGTAGCGGAGGCGGTGGGAGGGGCATTGGGAGTTTATGAGGTTTGCATTTGTGGTTATGTTTTCAGTTGTGAGGTCCTTTAGGGGCGGGGTGAAGGGGTTGGGGGTGGTGGTGGTGGTCATTTTTTAATGGGAGTTTGGATGGCTAAGATCATTGAAGTATTTAGATTGGATGGCATTGGATTCAATGGAATTGACACAGATCTTATATATGCATTTACGAGTGGTTTTAAAGCTCCGTTAATGGGACTGTCTGTCAACGTATATATAGCCAGTATTTTCAGCTCAGCACATACCTACAGCTTGCAGGGAAGTTAAGACCCTCAGCTTGTTTACAGGGATCAGAATAAAGGAGGCAGACATCGAACGTAACATCGCAGTGAATAAGGATTATCTGTCTCTTTTTTTTTTTTTTTTTTGTTAATTTTTATTTATTTATAATATATTTTTATTTATTTATATTTATTTTTTGCTCCCTCAACCTCCTATAAACACATTTCATGCATAGCGCCTATTATCCCCATCTCCAATGTGGATGTGGGTGGGGTGATTGCTTCGGCAGTTTCTAGCCCGCAAAACTGCATCTCCACAGTAAGCCAAGCAACCAATCTCCATTGGATCATACAGGCGTTTTGCCCTCCCCTGACAGGCACGGGCCCCATGTTCGGCAAACTCAAGGGCATGATTGATAATCGACGGGGGGAATGACAGTACGAGAAACTTAACGGAGAAGCGGGACTGCTTCCGCGGGATGATCACAAACATTTATCCACCACTAGCACAGCGAGGACATCCATATAAAATATGTCAAACATTCCCCCACGGGACAGGACCGGAACTGTTGATTAACGGTGACGAAGAAGATAAACAAGAGAAACACACGTTAAACTGGCTTTGAGGATTATTCGCCTTACCTCTCTGCCCGCACAGATGGTGTAGAATATCGCACAACAACCTGCCGTTTGCCTGATCGAAAGCAGAGAATATAGATAGCTTATAAATGGTAGTCACCATGGTTAGTTATTTCTATTTGTCTTATTAGATAACTACATAGAGAACTGGCATTCCTCCCAGCAATGTCAAGGAAAGTAAAACCTTGCAATCAAGTGACGGGTCCACAAGCTGCTCCACAGCGCTGCAAGCTGTTCCACGGTGATTGATCAGTGGCCCCATTGCGTTTGTTGCGTGTGTGGTGTCATGCTGTAAATATGTTGTATGTGTCCAATGCAGGTAGGGCGCCACAGCAAACAGCTACGCAAGGGGAGAGGGGAGTAACTTTTGCCGGGAGGGTATATATATCTATTCACCAGACAGGGTGGAGGAGCAACAAAGAAATTGGTTGACTGTTTCCTTTATGCGGGGTGGGTTCCAGTGCATGCTGATACGGTTATTTAGATTTCTGGATACAGAGTAGTTTAAGTGCATCAAGGTGGTTTTAAAACAGCCGCTTGGAAATCGGGTAACTAGTTCTGTTCGTCGACGGGAGCGAGGCTGGAGATGTAAACGTGATATCGCTGTCTGTCTAGGGTAGGGTAGTTAAAATCCATATTCTGTTGTTCATAAATAGGGGTCAACCCTGAAAACAGTGATATGTCAAGTGATGGCATATATATTTATAGCAGTAGTGATCCAACCATCCAAACATCCGAGGCCCATCCACGGATCCTCATATCACAAATCCGAATCATTTCATCAGCTTGAACCTGCAATCGCTCAACCTCCACCCACGGCATACTTCCCTTTCATTTTTGCCTTCTCCGCCCAATCGCAACAGGAAAATTACAGAGATATGGTGAGCGAGCGTCACCCGTGAGACATCCCTACCACCACTGACTATTGAGGGGTGGCTGTGGCGGGAGCTGTAGGCTGTAGGCTGCTGGTTGCTGGTTGCTGGTTGGTGGTTGGTGGTTGGAAGGTAACAAGTAACATAATTTTTCAGATGGTACTCCGTAGTTTAACTAACTACCCCGTACGAAGTATGGTTTGTCTGTTCTTTTGTTTCCCCACACCTCCCCCTTTCCCCTTTCCCCTCTGTGGAGGTGTGGAGGTATATAAATAGATGACATTCTTGGTGCACGACACAGCTTAGTGTGGGTGGTTGTAAGTTATCAGAGCCCTCCGTTGCGCATGTATGTATAATTACGGAATATGCGTACGGCGGCTGTAATCTGCAATGTACTGGAT